ATGGATGCTGTTTGCTACTAGAACAGATGCTTTGCAAGCAAAAGGCCTGAAGGTCAGAACCAATGCCTGGGATCACCAGTTTAAGAAGACCAGAGGTGACAAGGAACTGACCCTATCTGGGATGACTAGGCTGAATTTTTGCTGCATTATTGTTTGCCTCTCAACAAGTTATCTTCCTATATGTCTTGTGAAGTTTCCTTCTAACAGCTCTTAGCAAACTTTTACCAAAACACACCATGGTAGTCAAGTCATCTCCAAGAACCTCTCCAAGATCCACACACAGAGAGTGTAAGCAATGTGTGCAAAGGAAAATAATTTCTGTTTGAACAATGCCAAGTATCCAAGAGAAGGGGACAGCATTTTGACTGGAAAATGTATGTGAAAACTATGCTTGTTTATTACAGAGATAGCAGACAGACAGCATAACTATGTATGCTCAACTCTAAACATGCATAGGTTCAATAAATAGCATTGTAAGCCAAACTACCTCATGGGGTTCATAAGATTTGCCCCGAGTCCAGATGGTAACGATATGTAAATGGACAAGATATAAATTATTTCTTCTACCTCTTAAGCCATTGCAAGCAATAACCTCAGATTCCAGTCATCATTTCTAGTCATTTCCGGCTTTTGCTTAGGTATATTCTAAGCCTGAATCTTGATTTTTCCAGTCATGAAGGACATAGCCAAGCTGTGTGGTAAGCCTAAGTAATGTAACAAACAGTTGCCAGAAAAAAGGTAAGCCCCTCCAGTCTATTAACTATTTTTCCACACAGGTTCATTTTAAATCCTAGTAGTCTCTCCATCCAAATAACATCTGGGTTGAATATTCCAGCCAGTGATAACCCCCCTCCCTGCCTCACTTATGTCCCTGTTGTAAAACCACACTAAAATTCTGCACAATACTATAGCATAACACTGAGAAAAGCTGTATGAAGAGCTCTCTTCCAGCTACCCAGAGGTGATACGTGGAGGCAGAATTATTTGCCTTGGGCTATCAAATTTATGTCTATGGGAAGATTACTTATATGGTACAGGTAGTCCTCAATGTGTGACCACAATCAATCCCAAAATGCTAAGCAAGACAGTTGTTGAGTTTTGCCCCATTTTATGACCTTTCTTGCCACAGTTGTTAAGTAAATCAGGCTTTCCCATTGACTTAGCTTGTGAGAGGGTCACAAAAGGTGATCACATGACCTGGGGACCCTGCAACCATCATAAATTCATGCCAGTCTTCTGAATGAAGATACAGCAATGGTCATAAGGGTGAAAAATGTCCTAAGTCACTTTTTTCAGTGCCATTGTAATTTCAAACAGTCACTAAATGGATGGTTGTAAAGCAAGGACTACCTGTATTTTATTGGTGCACACATACATGAGTTTTCAAGCATGGGAAGGTGGGAACAACAGACACTTTGGCTATCACCAAAGCAGCTTAAAATGGCACATATATCGAGAGTTACCTTGCTCACTTTAATGCCAAGAATGCTTTACTCCAAAAGGATTTCTAACTGTGTAGTTTCATTTCTAGGAGCCTCTAAAGTTTTAATTAAGCATTTCTAGCCATATACCTATTAACACCGAAAACAAAGGATGCAGACATGCTACAATGGTGCTTGCCATATTTCTTTGGCCTAAGAGCAACATGGTCTTTTCTCTAAAAACTCTGAGCTGTTTAGGAACTTCCTTGTAACTTTCCATGCAGCTAATTCTCAGGACTTAACAACTTCCTCTTCCTACAGCACCAGGGAAGGAAGAGGACAACAAGGAGAATGAATGGCAGCTAGTGTTTATTTAGCAACTGACATGAGTTACTGCTGCAGTCAGTACAGTAGGTTTTCTGTTTATGACACTTGCCAACAACATGCAACTTTTCCTGTTCTGAATTCATCAGTCACAAAACCATAGACTAAGATAAAGGCAGGAAGGAAGGCTACTAAAGCAACACCATGTTACTATATTAGTTTTCTACAGCTGTCGCTCACATCAAAATACTTCAGGGACATTAAAAAGTCTTCCATTGAAAGCAATAAGACCTATTTCCACATAATATTACCAATGGACGTGAAGGACCAAGAAATCCCACTGAGTTCAATGGGAGATGTTTAAGTAACTTTATCCCGTAACTAAAATGCCCAACTTGGTTGAAGAGTATGCCATTAGTGCTTTCACAATGCTGTTCCTTGGAAGTCTCAGGGCATCTCAGCATATGAGTAATATCAGTTATTGTATAACATCTGTGTAAATCTGGGTTTCCTAGTCGATCGTTATTGTGATAAAAGAATATTATGCTATTCTATCTTAAGGATTTCATCTGAGCGAGAAGTTCCAAATTGCTGAAGTCATCAATGTAAGTGGTCTGTTCAATAGAGCTGTATCTTTACCTTGTTTAGGAATTCAGAGGAAAAGCAGACAGAATGGGGGATGGGGAAATGAGAAAGAATTGTGCTTTGAACAAAATGTATCTGGAATCCTTTGCCAATGCTACTTACTCAGCCTCTGGAGCAGATTTCTCAAATGTTGCTGTGATCGGACAAAGGGGAAGGGAAAGCAAGTCGAACCTTCTTGCTCTTCTTTCATTTGCAATGTCTCCCAGATGTTTTGCTAATATTTTGCTAGATGGCAATTTAATAAAACTGAACACATATTTTTTTAAAAAAGTGAATGGGGGTCTAAGATTCCTGGGGTTAGTCTGCTGCTTCACAAAGCTAGCAAACCCATTTTTAGAAGCAAATATTGACTGTACGATAGTGCTTCCTCAACAAAATTATAATATATGAAACTTAATTGTCTTTATAATCATAAGTGTATTTCCAGAAATCACAATGTCTGGAGTAGAGTGAAAAAGCAAAATGTATCCTCTGAAAAATTAATTTAATGTAAGTGAATTCATGCTCATTGTTTCAAGACACTTTCCGTTCACTCTCTTCCTTGTCCCATTTAAGCAGAGTTTGACTGAGGTTTATACCCTTATACTTGGAACAAGGCTCTATGGGATGGGATACAATTGGAATTTCTTCTGAGGAAACATGTATACATTCGGTATATTGGAGATAATTTTTATTCATTTGCTTTTAAGATTTATAAGCCACCTTAAAGCAGCAGCCTTAAGAAACACTGGCCTACAAAGATACAAGAAAAATATCCATTAAAACAATTTAAGTTTCAGCCACCTCACCAGGAGGCTTTAAGGGTAGATGTTTCTATTCAGCTCCTCCCCCAACACACACAATAGGAAGATAAAGCTGGTTATCTTACATGGACTATTTTTTAAAAAAATATAGGGACATGTGAACAGAGTGCTCTACACACTGACTACATTAATGTCAAGTTTCTTGAATGTGACTTGTTCACATGGCAACCAAGATTTAACCAAAAAAAAGAGCCCCCCCAAAGCTAAAATTGGTATTTAAAAAATCCTTCCCATTTTGATTTCCAGGCAGAATGCTTTTATACTGAAAAAATTACAAGCAGTTTCCTTTTTCTATAGTAGAATAATCTCCCAAAATATAGCAGTCAAAATCAGTGTTAGATTTGCTGGATGTGCCAACAGATTATTTTGCCTAGAAGGGTCTAGATTGTTATTAATATGCAACTGATGCAACAGCAAGACCACTGCTGGGAAGCAACTGGAAGAATTGTTAAGGCAAGAATTATTTGTCACTCCAACTGGATCAGCTGCCGAAAGGAGAACCATAAAGAAAACCAGATGTGACTCTTTAACCAATGTTTGTAACAAGCAAGCCAAACACAGGCTTCTGCCTTTCACAACCAAGAGGACTTTAAGTGTTTCCACCATGTATTTTTCTTTTTTTAAAAAAATACATTCAAAAAGAAACCTGGGGCTAAATATTATACATTAAATTTTACTGTTATTCCAGAGCAGTAAGATCCAAGGCACTCCAATGCCCCCTTCCAGAACTGAATTAATAATGTTTGGACCGCAAGAGAATAAAATACAGGGTGAACAGGATAATGACTTGCTGTTTCAGTCATGGGCATGGAAGTTACATGAGTACCACATGGTGCATGTCCCTTGTCTTGTTAACTCCACAGGCCAGAGTTCATCTGCTCCCTCACACTCTCTTTCTGAAGACAGGAGTTTTCAGAATACCAAGAAATCATTAATCAAGCCCAGCCATAAAACTCACACTACTACCTTAGGTGTCATCTTGCCCCTAACCAAGGAGTCTCTTGGAAGGGCTGTCCTCTCCAGCTACATTTCATTTTGCCAGCTGATAGTTAGACCGCTAAGCATTCCCTTTCCCCATCTCAATAGTTGGGCTAATCAAAGGTTTGATAAAAGTCTCTGATTTCTCTCTAGATTCCCATTTCTCCTGACAGTATTGTCTACCAGCACAGTTTTAACCTCATTACCCAATTTCCCTTTTTGGTAATATTTCTTAACTCTTCTAGTGTCTAAGTTCCCTCTGTTGGATGTGCAGAAACAAACTTGGATGGCATTGTTCTAAACCAGTATCACTCATGCAAGTTTTAAAAATAAATAAATAAAAATAAGTAGAAACTCAGATTACTGTTAATACAGCATGTTCCTACAGACTACTTTCAGTAAAAACTGGCTTATACTTATGCACCAATTACTTTGTAAAAGAGGGAAAACACATTATTCCATTTCTATCCGTTGTCAGTTGTCAACACCAGTTAAAAGTGATCACTCCTTATTCACAAAGAAAAAGGGGGGAGGGAAATACTTTATTCCTTTTTAAAATGAACTCAAAATATAATGCTAAAATACCTCCAAATAACTTCCACCAGACCTAAGGATGTTCCCTGATTTATTATTATTCTTTTGATCTCGGATTTAATGCAAGCAGTTTGCAACTACATCGCTTTGTTAATGAAACTGTAACAGTGTAGCTTATTTTAAAAGAAGAGGGAAACAAAGATGAGAGAAAATGAGAAATAAAAGAGAAAAGAGAGGCTTTGATTCATCAATGCCCGCATTGAAGAGATTTACAGGAGTAAGGTAAATGGTTCACCTGCTGCCAGTTCTCCTCCAAGGATGGCAAAGCTGAGAAGTACCCGGTGTCGTGGACAAGCTGCAATTCCTGGAATATACTATAACTAGCCAACACATCCATGTTGTTGTTGCTGCTGCTGCTGCTGCTGTTGCTGCTGAGCAAAAAAACAAACCACGACCTTTTCCTTTTAGATTTGTGTTTGAAATTTCGTGACGGGGTTTTAGTTCTGTTCATTAAAAAGGAGGGGGGGAAAGAGTCTTAGGCGCAATCAATCCAGATGTCTTTTCTCTCGTTTTGCTTTTGTTTGAGAGAGAGAGAGACCAGAGAATATTTGTAGTCACACTTTCAAAGATAGGGGGAAAAATCAAGGCAGGAACAAGAGTGGAGGAAGGAAGGGGGAAAAAAGGAAAAGAGCCCCATCAACAACCCAATAAGAAAGGAAAAATGCACCCAAACATGTACAAGGCGAGCCGTCAGCCAGGCAACCAAGAGGGGGGAACTTCTCCACTTGTAGTAAAAAGCAATTGCCTTCAAGGGCTCTGTTGCTGACTCCAGCGCTTGGACCAGAGAAGGGGGGGAATGCAAACTCACTGACACGAGACTGCCATCTATTTCTGCATTGCTGCTCGCTGCTGAATGCAATCTTTGCTCTTTATTGTGGGGGGGTTGCATTTTCTCCCTTGTGCGCGCTCTCCGGGCGCGTTCCCACTCTCTCCCCCCCTCCCCGTCCCTTCTCCGCGCAGTCGTGAGCTCTTCAGAGGAAACCGTCCATTAAGGCAGCGCGTGACCATGTAAGGTAAACAGGGGGAGGGAAGAAAGGGCCGCTCATGAAGTCACTGAGGCCCAATCGCGGCCTTCCTGGAGGAAGGGGGGACGGGCCAGAGCACGGAAGAGCCGGAGGGATTGGTGGAGGGTTTCATCCGACTGCCGCCTTATAAGGCAGTGTAAGGGGAGCTATTTTTAGAGAACTATATAAGCGGGCAGGGCTCGGTGCTGTGCGCGAGGCTTGGGAGAGGGCTAGATGGCGCGGTAGCCGAGCTCTGGAACATGCAAATTTCCAGGGGATGTCTTTGCAGTGCAGCCAGCCAGCCAGCCTGCCTGTCTTTTGAATGACAAGGAGAATAAACGGCCGCAAGCTGAAGAATGGGGATAAACCAGGATACCTGGCCCGCAAGGAAGGCTGCGGACTTAGGGACGGACAGGGAAGATGATGATGAGCAACTGGGGCGCTTTTCTTCCTTAGTTGGTCGTGGCTCTCTTTATTTCACTGTCAAATGCAGGTCCTCCTTGGCATCTGTAGATAGATCTGTATAGCTGAAAAGGCAGCGGGACCTCCACGCAGCAATCGGGGGAGACGGGCGAGGGCGGGGAGGGAGAAACACCAGCGAGTCCGTGAAAGAAGTTAAGCATCCCCGCGGCTTGGCGTTCTTACTGGCTACAAACTAGCAATTTAGCGGGAAGTGCGCGATAGTCCCCGTTACGTGGGATTAAGATTCACTGAACTCATCCGGACTTCCTTCTAAGTAAAGTCTGCCCAGGATGGAGTCTCATCCCTCTGCTGTGTAGTTGACCTTGTAGCGCCAAGTAGCTCGGAGTTCGGACGCGCTTCCTTGTAGCAGAGAAGTGTAGGCGGATTCCGCTCCGCTCTGTTGCAGAGCCAGCTTGGCTCCCAGAAAGAAAATAACGGGAAATGCTAAAAGTGTAGCGAAGATCTCAAGTGAGAATTAGGTGCAAGAATGTTATGATTGGAATAGTGGACAACCCAGCGATGGATGGGAGAGGAGCGAAAAGGAGAGCAAAACCTTGGGAACATAAATGAAATCCTGATTAAGGTGTTTGAAAATGTTGCAGTATAGAGCCTGAATCCATTTGCTATCATAAAAAAAAAAAAAAAAAAAAACTACTGGCCTCTTTGTGTATTGCATTTTACATAAACATCTTAACAGTTTTTCCATAAATGGTTAGCCTGGATGACATTGACTTTCCCAAAGTTTTTCTGGAAGGGGGCGGGAGGGAAGTGAGCTTTTGCCCAGTAAACACAGAGAGATTTAAGTAGGATGTAATTCTCCATACTTTACAATACTATGTTTTTGCACACCCAATCTCCTTTCCAATTTTAAAAATATAACATTTAGTAAAAACTTTTACTAAAAAGTTTATCAACCCAAGTGCCTGGTCAACTGTCTTTGTAATGCTGTGGCTGGGTTTATATACATGTAGCTGAAAGAAGCTGTCTAGTTTTGTGGTTCAGTGAATTGTGCAAGCTCAGCCGGTGTGGTTAGTTTATGGTTCAGTGTGTTATGCAAACTCAGGCAATTTGATTAATTCAGTAAGCCATGGTTCAGTAACCATAAGTTTAGAGTGAGGTGTGAACACACTTTCAAAAGATCATATTCCTGCCATTATCTGTTTCAAAAAGCAGTTCTCCATAAAATTTGGAGTGTATTTGTCAAAATGGTGATCAACTGATCAACCTAATAACCACTGGAGGGGAGCAAAGGATTTATTCCTCCTGGCTACAGCATAGAGGTGATGCTGGGAGATCACACAATAGAAGCTGATGTAGTTGTGTTGTTAGGTATTTCACTGGATTTATATGCTACTCCCGTTCAAGCTGATCTGGACTGACATACATTCGAAACATAACAAATGCAGCTAAAAACATAATGCACATTGAAGTAAAATAAATAACAATGTATACCAATATACAGTGCAAGGAATCATTCAACAGCCATCACCAAGCAAAGGAAAACTTCCACTACTAGGAAAACAGTTCATACCATTTCAGTTCTGAAGTCCTTATAAAATAGCCAGTGCTAAAAACCAGGAGGGAGGGGTCAGTATGGATGTTCAGGGAGAGAATGACTGAGGAGGCTTGCCTCCAGGATCTCTGAAGATAGGACACCCTGAACAAAAGGACATACAATGAGTCCACCCTAACCGGATGTCATTGAACAGGAAAATAATATCGAGAGAAGTGGTCTTGCAGATAATTGTGGTTCTGAACCATGGGAGGCTTTAAAGATTATCACCTACATCTTGAATTGCTCCAGGTCAGATGCAGGCAACTCACAACCAGCACAGCTCTCAATATGGTGGTGTTATCCAGACGAATTGGGAAGCACCCATAACTTCTCAAGCCACTGAATTCCAGAATAAATATGGTTGCCAAATAGTCTTCACTGGACATTGCAATAGTCCAATAAAGATGACTAAGTCATAAGTGACTATTTGAAGAGGCTCTGATTCCAGAAGCACTTGTAACTACCAACTAGGTCAAGTAATTAAGGTCATTGGCGAGCAAGTACAAAGATAGCCAGGGAAATTATTGAAGCCTGGGAAACATGCCCCTTGACTGTCAACAGGAGTTCTGATTTATCATCAGCATGTCAGGTACTTAGGAGCCAAGGACTTGGCAGCACATGGAAACAACAGCCAATGACTTAATAGCCAGCCATCAACATCCCAATCAACCAATAAGCCACACACAACCAGGCACCACATAAATTATGATGTCTAGAATAGCCCAAAGCACACATTCTGGTAGAAGTTCCCTGAGGATGGAGTCCAGCACAAGTCCAAAAGCTCAGAAGATTAAACCAGTGATCCCAGTGATCGATTGGATTCTGCAACATTATCCTGGGACCCATATATTTGCTTTCATTCATGAAAGTAACTACCAACCAGGTGAAGCAAGGTTTTGGTGTGGGAGTGAGATGTGTTAAGACGTGTGACTTACATCCCCCAAAACGTTTCCAAGATTATAATTTTGCCCAATAGACAATTTTTACTTGCAAAGAGTTAGGTTTTTGTATATCTTGGTTGTCATTTAATCATCCAGAATTGTATAATTATGATGTACCTACTGGCATTAGTGTTGTTAAGGAGCTGGAGTAATTACTCTCCTGTCAAAACTTGTATTGATATTTCTGTATCATTTTTAATTTTTAACTGCAAGCATCAACATGGTTTACAATAAGATGACAAAATAGAATAAAAGCAACCAGTTAAAAAGAATGATAAAATATTGGTAAGTTTCACTGGGCAGCTAACAATACTGACAACTAAGGTGTTCACAGAAAACTCCCTACTGTGAGTCTATTTTCAATAGGGACACAGTGAATGCAACTAGGAAGAATCCCCTTCTTTCCACTATTGCAAAGTGAATGTTAGCAAACTGGTGTGATAAGCAAAATATATTTCACTGAATGTAAAGATGGAAAATGTCTTTACTAAAGACAACTGTTTTTTACATTGCCTATCCCTTTTTAGTGTTGTAAACAAACATAAATGTAATTTGATAGCTACCTTAAAGATCAGCAGTTTGGAAATGCATTTATTTTGAGATAGCATCAAAACCTGACAAGGTAGCTAATGAGGACCAGTCTGGTCTCGTGTTTAAGGCATTGGACTCAAGCAGGAAACCTGAATTCTAGTCCCGTTTTAGGCCCAAAAGCCAACAGGATGACTTTGAGTCAGTCCTACTTTCACAGTCACATTCTCTCCGCTCTAGGAAGAAGCCAATGATGAAATGCCTCTGAAAATACTGTGCAGAGAACTGACCATGTAGTTGCCATGACACTTGAAGGCACCACCTCCCAAAAAGGGAGGGCAGCTAATATATCCCTTTGAGCATGTGAGTTATGTGCAGCAGGAGTATCCATGGCACATAGCTACCATACTTGGTGGCAGCTCACAAAGAAAGATTTCTCATCCATGCAATGCATTACTGTACTTCAGTCTGATTATGAATCTATGGGTCGTCTGGCGACCTCTATCCAGGACATCAGAGTTCTAGCAAAAGTTGTTAATTACTGCTTACAACTAGGGCCTATATTAGCAACAATAACTACCAAGAACTGCCCAGATTAAGAATATGTTCCTGCTGATGAAGTGAAGTAGTTGATAAATTGCCCAACTCCCAGACTTGGAAGCCACTTACCCACTGAATTTCAGTCTCAGCGCTGTATCTTAACCATTGAAATTTTTTTTAGCTACTGTATTTTGTATATGCTGTCTCTTGTATACACTGTAAATGTAAACTATGTTTCTGAATCCCAAATAAAGGGGGCAAACAGAAAACATTCTCCAATGCTGCACACTTTTTGTTAAACATGTTTTGGATAAAGTAATATTTAACAAAGCAAATACAGTATAGTAAGTAAGTAAACACTGGCATATAATTCAAGGAGAAAGCAAAACTACTTAACCAAAAAGTTTTCAGAATATTGAGAAGTCTACAACCGTGTTTAGCATCTGGTCATGAAAAGAAAATTCAACAATTTCATCTCCTGAATTTTCTTAACATAAAACGTGCAATCTAATGATTTGTCTGGTATTTTGCCATCTTTTATGCCTTAAAGCAGGGGTGTCAAACTCTATTTCATTGAGGGCAGCATTGTGTTTGACCTCAGGGCTGGGGATGGGTGTGGCTATGGCCATGGTGGGCGTGACATGGGACTCGTGTCGGGAGGCACCTGTGGTGGCCAAGTGCTAAGGCAGGACTTCCCTTCACTCTCATCACAGTCTTCCTTCCTTCCTTTTCTCTTTCCCTCTTCATTCTAATTTCTTTTTCCTTCCCAGCTTTCCTTATTTTTCCTTCCTTGCCCTCTTTCCATCTTTTTTTCTTTTTCTTTGCCTTTTCTCTTTCCCTTTCTCCTTTCCTGTACTTTCTTGCATGTTCAAATGCAAAAGGGGAAACATTTCTCCTTTTGTTTTTAGTTTTGATAGCCCTCTGCCAGCCAAAACAGGGTGCGGGGGAGCTGCTGTCAGAGGGCTACAGGAGGCTGTCCAGGCCAAAAATGGGGCATGGGGGCTGCACATGTGGGGGCCCCCCACACCCTGTTTTTGCTAGCAGATCTTTTGCTATTTCCAGGCCAGCCACGCAGGCCAGATCTAAGCACCCTGTGGGCCAGATGTGGCTCATGGGCCTTGAGTTTGACACCCCTGCCCTAAAGAAAAGGACTGGAATATAGGTTAGGATCTGATCAGATTTTTAAAGGAAGTAAGGGGTACAGAATTAAGGTTAGGGGAAAAAATTCCTTCAATAATTGATAATTATTCAATTAATTGATAATTGGGTTGTTTTAATTTACGGCCAGAATATCTAATTATTTTAATACTGTTTTTTAAATTTTGTATGTTTTGTTTTTACTTAGGCTGTGCACCGCCCTGAGTCCTATTTGGAGAAGGGCGGTATAGAAATTTAAACAAATAAATAAATAAATAAATAAATAAGTCACTACTTTGAATTTGAAAATTAAAGCTAATAAAACAGTTCAAATAAGCCATTTTTGGCTTTGAGGTATGGGACTTGCCACCTTTCTAAATCAATTATTTTGTATTGTTTTTATATCCAGAAATAGCCAAGAAATACGGGTAGTCCTTGACTTATGACCATAATTGAGCCCAACATTTATATTGGTTAAGCAAGACATTTGTTAGGTGAGTTTTGCCCTATTTTACAATGTTTCTTACTATAGTTGTTAAATGAATCACTGTGGTTAAGTTAGTCAAATGGTTGTTAAATGAATCTGGCTCCTCCATTGACTTAGTTTGTCAAAAGGTCGTAAAAGGTAATCAATCACATGACCCTGGGACAGTGCAACTGTAAAAAATAGGAATAAGTTGTCAAGCGTCTGAATTCATGATCAAGACCATGGTGATGTTGCAAAGGTCATAAGTGTGAAAAAGGTTGTAAGTCTTTGAGTGCCATTGTAACTTTGAACAGTCACTAAATGAACTGTTGTAAATCAAGGATTACCTGTAGTGCAGGAAATACATCCTTCTGTGAAGTTTTGCCAACCTAAGTCTCTCCATACGGGCTAGGTTTCAATTTCCATTAACACTGGGCAATTTAAAAGGGGATAAGTTGGCCCAGGATGATTTAGATATTTTTATAAATCAAAATAATATATAGTACTAAAATTGTGTACGAAAGCTCTTTAAGCAACTCAGACTGGGGCTGTGTATTTTCAGAGGCTTTGCATATTCAAAAAAACTTCTCTTGAAATTTTGGAACAGCCAAGCCGTATACTAAGCTCAAGTTCAAACAGAGTGACCATTTAATGCCAGGGCTTCCACCTGTATGGCAGAATACTTAAAGAGGTTCAGGGTCAAACAGTGTGCGTTTTCATAATGATGGTTGGGAGATACAGATATTTCATATCCCTAGATTTGGTATGAAATTTGTAAGAAGAGAACATTAAATTAACTTGACAGTTTGTCTTAAGACAAAACAAATGACAAAAGTAATTAAACAAATACTGCTTATCTATCTATCCCCTGTTTCATTACAGCAAAATAATAGGAGAGCCAGGCTTTATAAATTATTGCCTTTAATTTGTTTCCTTATTCAATGAGAGAGTAAGTCCAGCTCCTTGTATTTGAGTAGGAAACTAAAATCTCAATAAACACTATAATGCAATAAAGGCAAGAATATCCTTTCCTGGAATCCCCCCTCCTTTTTTTTTAGGCTCTTAAAGTCTAATTTCCTTGCTTATTTTGATTGCTTCCTCTTCGACTTCTCACCACCTTGTCAAACTCCCCTCCCTTCCCTAAATGACATTCTTATTGAAGTGAAGTATTTTATTTCTCTTAACACTGAGACATTTTTGTGAAATACAGCACACTTTTGTGTCAGGTACTTTAAAATACACTCCTAAAGCTCTTTGTAATATCTGCAAATGCACTACAAAGCTTAACAGGCAGAGAGAGGGGAAAAACAGTAATAAGCTCTGCCATCTCATTACCTGGGTTGTAAAAATGGGGGAGGGAAAAAGGTCTCATTTTCTAGGGCAAGAAAATCCTTGTCAGACCCTATTTTTAACTTCCTGGTTTTTAATTGAAAGCTTATCTCTAGGGTATTTTTCTTTTCATGCATGTTTGCACCACTGTAAACATTTCTCTCCTTACACCAATCTACCGGGTGAGAAGTTCATCATTCTGAAAGGGGCTAATAAGTAAGGGAGGGTCTGCTAACTAAAAAGTTTCAGTTCGCTTCTTTGTTCTGCTTGGGAATACTCCAAAAGTCTTAGATAAGATGAATGACTGGAACTGACATATCACAAAAGAGCTACTTTCTTTTTATTATTCTGGCTTGGGCCAGTTATTATGACTTCCAATCTTTGCAGAAATTGTGCCCCATTATATTTCGATTCCTTGGGTATTTTATTATCTCTTTTCCCCATCTCTCTATGAGCACAGTCCAGGAACAATCATTGGAAAGGAATGCAATGACATCTGGATGTGTTGCTGAGATTTTGACTCTCCCAAGGTCAGTTCCCATGTTGCTCTGGGATCTCAGCATGCATGATAAAATTATGAAAATCTTTCTCTCTCCCCACAACCTTTGAGTTAGTCTCGACTCCTGGCCTGAATGAGCCCCTGTAATTTTCTTGGCAACTGCAAGGCTTACCATTGACTTCTTCCTAAAGCTGAGAGAGAGTGACTGCCTTCTCAATTGCCTAGCACTGAACATAGGGCAAGGAATAAACAGCTCTCTATAGCCATGTGTTCTAGGAAGGAAAAAGATAGAGGCTCTCCCACCAAGCTTGCAATCCCCCACATGGCTGAAATATGCCTGTCTTTGATGGCAGTTAACTAGCCCTGCTGTAGCTATCTTGCTGCCATATGTCCTTTACTCATCCTCCGTTTAACTGCCCCTTTGTTTCATTTCTACAGCTTTGGTTGCAGTGCTTTATCTATAATCGTTTATGAATCCCTTGCCAGCTGACTGATATCTTAAGGCAGCGACAGTGGCCACCTTAGGAAGTTGCTGGCAGAATTTGTTTATTCTTCCTTTTGGACTACAACTACTGCAGCTTGAATGATAGGGACCCCAGTTCTACTGCTCAAGAGATGGTGAACTGATATTGACAAGGGCTCCAGAACAGAGGTGAGTTTCAGCAGGTTCTGACCAGTTCTGGAGAACCGGTAGCGGACATTTTGAGTAGTTCAGAGAACCGGTAGTAAAAATTCTAACTGACCCTGCCCCCATCTATTCTCTGCCTTCCAAGTCCCAGCTGATCAGGAGGAAATGGGGATTTTGCAGTATTCTTTCCCTGAAATGGGGAGGGAATGGAGATTTTGCAGTATCCTTCCCCTGCCACATCCACCAAGCCACACCCACAGAACTGGTAGTAAATATTTTTGAAACCCACCACTGCTCCAGAAGGAGGGCAAGGAAATGTAACATTCACCAAGTGACCTTGCCAATAGTCTCATCTTGGTGACCATCTTGGAAGTCCTTTTCTATTTCAGAATTCCGGCCATTAATTCTCTGGATTCTTTTCTGGGCAGAAAGATGTGTGTTAAGCACTTTTCTCACTTCTGGCCAATACAGCCAGTATGCAAGACAGATGCAGTTGGATAACTAGGCTTGTTTGTGATTCTAGCACACAGGTTGTTTGCTGGCTCAACTTGGCAAGAATGTCCTGATTAAAAAAAAAAAAAAACACCATCTAGAATTATCCCATCCTGCTCAGCTAGGATAATAGAACAGTTAAGAGAAAGGCAGGACATCTATGGAGCTTGCTCAAAGAAAGCATCTCTTTCTAACCTAAAAAGCATGCGGTGCTTGAAGATGTTGTTTAATTCTTAAGTCTCAAGTGTGTGTATGATGCACAAGGGACCCGGGTGGTGGGGATGTCCAAGCCACTGCTCCAAGTGTGCAGAACAAGAAAGTGGCTTTCTTGTCTTCAACTTCTCCCCAACCCCCCACCCCATGTTTTAGAAACTCTTTTTGACCCTATGCTGCTGTGTTTAATGAAAGTTAAAGGACCATTTCACCCAGCATTGGTGTCTGCTTCTTTATTGTCATTACAATTGCCTTATTGCTGGAGTCTGTGAGAGACTGCTACCAATCTGTCTCCATATCCTTTAGCATTTCCCCCCTCTTCTCTTTCTTCGTGATAAGTTGTTGAAGCACTGACTCTGAAATTAAAGAAAATGCTCTGAGAACAATGGAGGCAGGAAGTTTCCCATCCTAGATCTCCCCCCTCCCCAAAGAGGCAGCCTGTAATGACAAGAAAAGGCTCAGTCTGGCTCTCTGCTGCCTAGAAATCAGCCTAGTTTTTGCTGCTAAGCATTTTGCAGGCATTTTGCATTGCAGAAGCCATGCTGTTTTTTTCTTATGTGGGAAACTGCCCTGTCATCTGCCATTTAATAGATTCTCCTTTCCTTAGTCTTCTTCAATACAGCAGATTGCTGGGGTCCCTGCCTCTCAACTTCTCACAGGGAAAGCTGTGTGCAGCTCAGAAGGTGTGCAAATAAAGAAGGTTGGTTTTAAAAATGGCAACTTGAAATTTTGACTCTTGGGACAAATGTGTCCCTTACCCTTCATTTCTTTTTATTTCTTCTGGAGTTTTTAATATGTAAACTCTGGATCCTGCAATATCAAATAATCAAACTCGGTGCACCAGCAGTAATCCAAATTCTGCACAGGCTCTACAATCTGCATACATTATGCATGTATAAATTAAATTGTGTGCTACTTTGCATTATTTATTCTGCTCCCGTTAGCCATAGCAAATGACAACAAAGGGCATTATTGAAGCCTTATGGGGTTGCCTGGGTTTTTGGGTCCTCGGGAGAAACATAAACACAAAACAAGTCTTTTCAGTAGCCGATCTGAGATTCTGGGATTTCCTGCCATCTCTCTAGTTCTTTCATTAGCAGGCAAATTATTTCTACTCAGGCAGGCCTTTGACTTTAAAAATGACTTGTTGCTGAAGCATGTATTATTCTGGTACATGCAGTTATTTATTTCCTAATTATGTATTTTTATTTGATGGGCTTTGATGTTTTAAATGTAATGGAAACTCAAAAGCATACTTACAAGTGTATTTTTTTTTTTTTTACTCATTGTCAATGTGGATTTGGAGTTATAGTAGTGATTTTATCTGTATTTAATTTTAGCCATTATGAACACTATTTTTATGGAAATGAGACATAAATTAAAGAAATACATCTTTATTCAACATTATTTTAAATGAAAGTAGCTACATTTAACAAATTGTTCTTAACTGTTCTACAGAAGAAAATGTGTCCTTATTAGCAGATAAATCTGCAGAAATCTCAATAACTACCGCAAAATATTGCTCAGCCATGATGGCTATAAAGAAACTTGGGGTGTAAATAAAATTTGACAGATTAATTTTCATGTTATAAGGCAATTAGCCACATATTTCACCTTTTAATAATTTGTCTGTCTGTCTGTTGTGCTCTGTGAAATTTTTGATCTATGATTCTGGATCAAATGTACTCTGGAAACAAAATTCAGTATTCATTGCCAATAACTACACTAGCCCAATGCATCACGAGATGCTCTAATTCTGTCTCTTCATTTTGCTAGGTAACCAAGACTATTTTTATAGAGTTCTTTTTTCCATCAGCTGTTGCTCTACATGCTTTCCTTAGGAGAAATGCAAATAATTAGAGGAATGAAAGACTACGTTTTACACACTCCTTTGCTTCCTCGCCTACGGGTTCCACAGACATGCTACTGCAGAATTCTGTGGGATGAAAGCTAGATTTTTTTACATTACATTTCTATACACAAAACTCATGTCTGGGAGCTTTCCAAAATAAACAAAAACTCACAAAGGCGGCAATCTGAAACAAGGATTAATGTCAGTCAGATTTGTTAATTTGGAGGATCTAGCCCAATAACTCTCAATACAAAGTAGTGGTTGTTGCAGCTTATTTATTTGTAGGCATAAATATATCATAGGCCTAAGTATACACTTGTAACCAGTGGTGGGATTCTGGGGGTTCTGGGGGATTCGGCCGAACCCTTTGTTAAATTGCTGGCTCGCCCCGCCCCTTGCACTACTATTTATTCCCAATAAATGGGGCGAGCGAGCCAGCAATTTAACAAATGGTTCGGTGTTTTTTTGTAATTTATTGGCCCCGCAGCACACCAACTGTTTGTTAAATTGCTGGCTCGCCCGCCCCTCACCCCGCCCCACCTCCCACCCGTGCGGCGCCAGCCTACCGTAACCAGGGGGTAGGCAATTGTGGCTCTTTTACAACGTTTGGACTTCAACTTCCAGAATTCCTGAGACAGCTTGGCTGTGTCAGGAATTCTGGGAGTTGAAGGCCACAGGTTGTAAAAGAGCCACAATTGCCCACCCCTTCCCTAGCCTGAGTTCCGCTGCCTGGGATCCACGTGGGCTGCCACGTGGTTCCCCACCGGCTCCGGACGCAAGAGAGCAGGATGGAGAAAGCAGCTTCCACACCTTCACTCACCCTCACTCTCTGCTCTGTTGGATCGCCGGCCGTTCGCTTACCCCGCCCACTCCCAATCTATTGCTGCCTCCGGAGACAAAAAAACTTCAAATTCTTGCCGCGGGTCTTCAAAGGGCCACCCTATAGCCAGTGGTGCAGCCGAACCCTTTGTTAAATTGCTGGCTTGCCCCGCCCCTCCGCACCACTATTTATTGCCAATAAATAGTGGTGGGCGAGGGGCGGGGGAGCCAGCAATTTAACAAAGGGTTCGGTGTTTTTTTTGTAATTTTATTGGCCCATGGAGCTTCAGCATAGGCTAATTGGCCTCCCGGCTCTCAGCTGATTTGTCTCAGCTGTTTTGCTCAGGGCTCTTCTGCTTCCTTGCAAAGAGTCCTGGAGCAAATTTTTTTTCCCTTAGCTCTGCTGAAACATGAAACTGAAACTGCTTTGCTGTTGCTGCAAGGTTGGAAAATTAGGCAGGCAGAATTCTTTTCTTTTTCCTCACCAAAAAAGGTAGGTGCAAACAATGGGAAATTTAGGGAAAAAGAGGAGAGTTCAGGATTTTAAAACACAAAAGAAAAAAAGCTCTATTTAACTAGGGAATTGTAATAATTGAGATACTATTAATTGTATATTTCTGAAAGCAGAAATGGTTAAGTTGTGGTTTGGAGGAATATATGGGGGAAATTATTTGGTTTATTATTATTGGTAAATATAATTAATTGATTTGTAAGAAATTGGATTGCATGAAAATAATTAGAATATTCATGTTCATATTGATTAATATACAAAAAAGGTAGTTATATAACTAATTGATTTATATTAAAATGTTTAATTTATATTAAACAACTAATATTACATAATTAACCAATGTGAGGATGGATATAAAAATAGATGACAATGGGAAGGGGTATAATATAGAATAGAAGGGAAAAATTGAATTTGATTAAGATTAGAGATGAGGATGAAGGGTAATATTGGTTTTTTACAAAAATAGATGAGGAATAAATATGGCAAAAAGGAAATATAGAAATTGTAAATTTAATTGAAATGACTAAACACTGTTTAAATTTGTGAACCGGCCAAATATTCTGTTGAAAGAAAATACATTGTATGTTTGTATGTGTGTTTCTAATTATTGTTATTTATTCATATTTGTTCTCTTTTATTCTTTAAAGTTTAACAATTCATTCTTTATCTTAATATCTTTATATTTGTTTGGGGTTGGCTTTCTTCCCTTTCATCTTTTTTATTGTACAGCAATCTTTCTCCTCAAACCTACCACCTCTCTCTTTTCTTTCCTTCTTACTTTCTCTTCCTCCCCCTCTTCTTCTCCTCCCTACTTCCTCTTCCTTTCTCCTTCTCCTCCTCTCTTCCTCCCTCTCTTACCCTCCCTCCTACTCTAATTTCCCTTCCCTTCCTTCATCCCTCTCTATTGCTGTATCCTTTTATGCATATGGACTACTCAGAGGGCTGGAAAAGTTATTTCTGACTGGTCCTCGCACTTTTGACCAGTCCTCGAACTTACGACTGTCCTCACATTTTACGTTTTTGCCCTATCTTGTCACCATGGTGAAGAGAAGCAGTTGTGAAATGAGTGACATGGTTGTTAAGAATGCTATAATGGGCATAAATGATGACCAGTCATAAGTGCGAAGACCAGTCAAAAGTGCGAGGACCTGTCAGAAATCACTTTTTTCAGCCCTCTGGGTAGTCCTTTTGTGCATATGGACTACTCAGAGGGCTGAAAAAGTTATTTTTGACTGGTCCTCGCACTTTTGACCAGTCCTCGAACTTACGACTGTCCTCACATTTTACGTTTTTGCCCTATCTTGTCACCATGGTGAAGAGAAGCAGTTGTGAAATGAGTGACATGGTTGTTAAGAAAGCTGCACGGGCATAAATGTGAGGATGGTCATAAGTGTGAGGACCGGTCAAAAGTGCGAGGCCCAGTCAGAAATGACTTTTTTCAGCCCTCTGAGTAGTCCCTATGCACATAGCCACGCCCACCCGGTCACATGACGAGCTAGCCACGCCTACACAGTTATGTGACCAGCTAGCCACGCCCACCCAGTCACATGATTGCCAAGCCACACCCCCAACTAAGCCACGCCCACAGAACCTGTTGTTAAAAAAATTGAATCCCACCACTGCTTGTAACTGACCTTTGTCTTCTCTTCGCAGGTATGTAGTTGGAACTGGCTTGGTACCCATGTGGATGGTCTTTTGTACCCAGGGGGAGGAGTCAAGGTAAGGTGGGATTGTGGAAGTGATGGGTTGTGTAGTAGTGTGTTAACCCTTGATAGACCATAGGGAAATAGGAGCATATGTAAGTTAGACATTTTACGTGACAAAACCCCCTCTAAATGTCTAACTGGTGGTGAGTATATGGCTTCTGTATATATGATTTACATGTATACACATAATTTTGACATAAGATATGCGTGTTGTTTGTGTTGTAATGGCTTGGTGAGTATGTCTGCTGTTTGCTCCTCGGTGTTGCAATGTACGGCCTTGATGAAATCGATTTCTGAGAGTTGCCTGACATGTTTGCATTTTATATCTATGTGGCGTGATCTTTGACCAACGGCATCGGCTTTTGATATTTCGATGGCGGCTTGTTGTCCTCGTGGATGACTATGGGATACAACGGTTCTGTCCAAATGTCATTGAGTAAGTCATCGAACCAGGTTAGGTTGTTGGCGGCCTTGGACATGCAGACAAACTCTGCCTCGGTGGTGGAGGTAGCCACTAGTTTTTGTTTACCTGTATACCAGTGTATGGGACTGTTGTTGAGGAAGAAAACATACCCAGAAGTGCTTTTCCTGCTTTTGATGTCTCCTGCCCAATCGGCATCAGCGTAGCATGATAGTTTTGGTTCCATGGATATGTCGGGTTCAAGGCATAAGCAGGCATCAGCACTGTATTTTAAATATTTGAGTATTTTCTTGATGGCATCCCAGTGGTAGATTGTGGGTTGGCTGACATGTCTGGATAATAGGTTGACTGCTAATGCAATATCGGGCCTTGCCCAGTTAGCTATGTATAGCAGTGAGCCTATGGTGGACCTGTATAATTTGTTGTCTGTGAATGGCTCCGCTTCATTGTACATATTCTTTAGGAAGTCCGGTTGCATGGGAATTTCACTAGGTTTGGCTCCTGACATGTTACATTTGTGTAACAGCTCTACGATTTTCTCCTTTTGGGAGAGTCAGAAACCCTTATCTGTTTTGATTATGTGGACCCCTAAGTACTTATCTACTGTCCCCAATGATTTGAGTGAGAAATGTTTTCTTAGTTCAGCAGCAAAATTATCGCATTTGGATTTCTGTTTCCCTATATATAATATGTCATCTACGTAAACAAGGACATTTTCGATTGAGCCTTTTTCCTTTTTTATGAAGAAACATTTATCTGCTGAGGTGGCTGTGAAACCCATTGATTTGAGGGCCCTGGCTAGGCAGTCATACCATCTTTTGCCGGACTGCCTGAGACCGTATAGGCTTTTGTTTAGGAGCCATGTGCTACCTTTCCCATTGTCAATTCCCGGTGGGGCCTTGACATAAATTTTCTTGTCTAAATCGGCATGCAGGTATGCTGTTTGTACATCGAACTGGTATACCCCTAGTCCTAGGATGGAAGCTATTACTAGGGCGCTCTTGACACTCTCGGCCCTGACTGTGGGGGAGTAGGTGTCTTTGTAGTCGTCTGGGTATTTTTGAGCAAAACCTTGGGCAACTAGTCTTGCTTTGTATAATACCTTATTATCTTCTAGGGGTTTAATCTTGTATACCCACTTAGTCCCAATTGGTTTTTTATCTTCCGGTACTCTGGATGGTGTATATACTTGTAGGTCCTTGCCATGGCTTGTTCCCATTTTTCTTTTTCTTCTTGGGGAAGTTTGAGTATTTCCTCATATGAGTTGGGAGTAATGTTGTTCGTCTGTATGGAGATGATATAATCCTCGAGGCTTTTTGGTGTTTTGTTTCTGTTTGCTCTGACTGGTCTGTCTGGTGGTATGTCTGTCTCATGTAGACATTTGGCTTCTTTATCTGTGAGTTTGTCAAAACTTAGTGTGGGGTGTCCTTCCTTCCATTCTCAATCTTGAGTCCATGGTGTTTGGGTTTGTGGGTTCTGAGTTCTCTTGTTTTGTCTGTGTCCTGCTCCCTTTCTCTCTGCTTGTATTTGGATATGTCTCCCCCAATGAAGATGTCATTGGAGTGCAATTTTGACCAGTTGGAGTGTTCATGAAAGTCTGCTGATCCTGACATCACGAATTTGTTGTTGCTGTCTATGAATCTGAAGCCTTTTGTCCCTGGTTCATATCCCATGAACCTTAGTCTCTTGGAGACCCTGCTCCTTTTCTTCTTAACTGTTTGGATATATGGACATCTGCTGGGACACCAAACACATGCAGATGTGCCAGGTTGGGCTTCCTTTTGTGCATCATTTCATACAGTGTTTTGTCAATTACGCTGGACCATAGTCTGTTTAATGTGTAATTTGAATAATGGAGAGCTTCTTACCAGAAGGCTTAGCCCATCCCTGCATCTTCTAAAACACATCTCATCATGGTTTGGAGGTTGCCATTTTTGCGTTCTACCACACCGTTCTGGAAGGCCGAAAATGGGGAGGAGGTGAAATGTAGTATGCCGCGTTCCTTCAACCATTTTGAAAAGTCCCTGGACATGAACTCCGAACCACGGTCTGTCATTATCTGTCTGACCCTGTTATTGTGTTGAACCTTATAGACTTCTTATAGAACTCTTATAGAATTCTTTGAATCTCTGGAACGCCTCGTTTTTGTGTTTAAGTGTGTTTAAGTGTGTATACAAAACCATAGCGGCTAAAGTCATCCACAATGGTTAAGAAAAACCTCTCCTTGTACCTGATAGATAGTTTCAGTGGCCCTACCAGGTCCATGTGTATTAATTGAAAAGTGGAGTCAGTGGTTCGCCCCGATTTCTTTGGTCTCGGCCTAGTCCTGATTTTTGAGCATTTACAGACAGAGCACTCAAGGTAATTTTCACAACTCTTTACTTTCAAACCTTGGTAGTACAGGGGTTTAAGGCACCCTGTTATTAAGCTGGTTATTAAGACCAGCTGCCTGCAATTACTGCAGGGTTCAAATCTCGCCAAGGCTCAAGGTTGACTCAGCCTTCCATCCTTTCTAAGGTAGGTAAATTGAGGACCCAGTTGTGGGGGCAATAAGCTGACTTTGTATAAATATACAAAAGGATGAAGGCTATTGCTGAGCACATTGTAAGCCGCCCTGAGTCTTCGGAGAAGGGCGGCATATAAATCAAATTTTTTTTAAAAAAAACCTTCAGTACATTCAAACATTTTTTTTGACAACCGGGAACCCAATGTGGCCTAGTCTCCTATGGAGGAGGTGGGCGCAATTGTCGTGGACGGGCTTCCCCATGGAAATTGTGTCACCTCCGGATAACTTACAACTGGTGGTCTCCTGATTGACCCCCTCTGTTTCTCCATTCTCTTTTCCCTCACTGGTCATGTTTACGTTTACACACTATTGATTGCCCTCATTCGGTGTGAAGTATGATAGGCCATCATGTACTGTTACTTCCCCGATGTTTTCTCCATTACTGGACATGTACACCCTACCTTCCCTGAATACCACCTCAATGTTAGTGTCCTGACTTAACTTTATGGTGGCCAGTATGTTGTATGGTATTTCAGGTACGAACAGCATCCCCTCTATTTTTCCTATCCCTGGGATGTATACGCTCCCTTTTCCAATTATTCTGGCGTTGCTCTGGTTGGCTACCTTTATCTTGAAGTTCACCTCAGTAAGAGTGGTGAATAATTTGGCATTGTATGCCGTGTGGTTGGTGGCTCCTGAATCTATGAGCCAGATATTCTGTTTCTCTTCCTGACTGAGAGTTGGTCCCCCGTACCTGAAACCATATACAGAGCCTGTGTTGCTGTCTCGGGAGGTGTGCCTGTGCTCTCTACCTCGTCTGGGGTTGGGAGACCATCGGCATCCTCGTTCCTTTGTGGGTGGATACCAAAGGAGAGTGTCTCCTTTGGTATCTTCGTCTGGATTCAGGCCTTTCCCTGCGCTCATTGTACCCCCTGTCCCTGGTATTTCTGGGGCAGTCCCTTTTGAAATGGTTCCTGGAACCACATGAGAAACATTCAGGGATGCTATTTATTCTGTCCTGAAACTCAACCCTTTTGGGTGGTCTGAGGTCTTTTCTGGACAGGTGGCGGTCCCTTCTTAAACTATCCTCAGCAATCAACCAGTTGGTGAGGCTATCTAATGATATGTGCCCTATGCTCAGGCTGTCTAACTATGTGACAAAATTGTCCCAGCTGGGATCTAGCGAGTTTATGATTATACTCATCATGCTTTCTTCTGTGATGGTCTCACCTCTCTGTAGTAATTTAGCCCTGGTGGCATTGAATTTTAGTAAATGTTCACTCATGGACACCCCTGGCCTGAGTCTGGCAGAGTGAAAATCTCTTGATATTCTTGTGGTGTAGCCCTGCTCCTACTGTAGAATAAGCTATAGAGTTTCTGCATAACCTCATATACAGTCAGGTGATTGCCTATGCTGGGATACATGGTGGGTGAGATACTTGCTAACAACAAACAAAACACTTTGTGGTGTATAGAGTCAGTTTCAAAAGACCATGGCTTCTTGGGTGGTTTAGATATCAGAAAAAGTACATTCTCCCTCATAAATATTATTTGGAGTTGTTGGCTCCACTCCAGGAGATTTTTCCCATCTAATTGAAGTTTGGGGAACCCATTGGGTAAAGTCCCAGAATTGTAAGAACTGCTACTTACAAAAGGCAGCTGTCCATGGTCCTGAATGTGTGGAAACTCACAGTAAGGAATTGGTATACTTGCTGACAGGTTAAAAAAACAGGCAGTCATTTTTTTTTCTTCACTTTCAACAGGGGGAAATTGAGCATGCATGAAGCTCATTCTCTGCTGGGAGCCGTCGGGTGAGGAGCTCACGGCCGCGGCTCCTGAAGCTAGGCCCAGCCCTGCCAGGGGAAGGTCGGACTCACCCCTGGGAACTCGGAGCTGGGCAGTGGAGGTCCGGAACTGGTCCTGGGCTACGGGATTATTTTCAAGCGTTGGCGGGAGGCCCAGGAGACTCGTGTTCGCCGGGTGGGGCCTCCAGAAGATCGGCTGGTCGATGGTTGTGGCGATTGGCTCCGGTCTGTAGACGCTGGTCGTGGGATGGGACGGGAAGCCCGGCGGAGGCTTCGGTGCTGGTGAGTGGTCTGCTTGGCCCCTGGGCCTCGGGTCTTGTGTTGGTAGTGAGATGGTTGGTTGGTTCGCAGCACGCCATGGGACCGGTGTATTGATGGCGGATGGTTGAGACCTGTTGGTGGTGGGTGTCGTGTTCCTCTGGTGTGTTGCGGTCGGTGTCTTGGCGTCGGTGGGCATTTGGGTATTTCTTCAGACCTCAGGGGTCATTTCATGGTTCGGAGGAAGCGTTGGCGGCTTATAAGCGGGGCCGAATGCTGCCGTGAGAGTCTTGATGGCCTTTTCTATTTCGAGCTCGGTAGATGAGCTCTTGGTGACTTGATTCCGTTTTTCTTCATTATTTTTAGATGGCCCATTATTTGTTTTGAGTTTGGGGCTAGTTCGCGCCAAGAGGTTTGAATCCAGGCCTCCCATTGGCTGCTGGTCGTTCAAAGATGGTCGCCGCAAAAAGGGCACGAAAATAGACTTGGCTGCTTCTGGTGTGCCAGGTTGAGATGGCTCCTCTCTTACCAGGGTGGTGACTTCTTGGGTTGATTCTGGTCCTTCAATCGCTGCTCCACGGCTTTTGAGTAGGCTCTGGAGATTCGCGACGAGGTCCTCGTTAGTGGCAGGCATTTCCATTATTTTCAGTATGGCTTGCCTGAGGTCATCATTCTCTCGTGATGTGTCTCTGTGGTCATCATTTTCTTCTTCCCACTGTTTCTCACCCTTGGATGGTGTGCTCAGGTCGATGGTCCGCACGTTTCCAGTCGGAGTGGCCTTTGGTATGGCTCCGGTGAGTGTTAGTTGCGCTGCCATCTGTCTGGTAAAAGCTCTGGTATTTATTCTGTTCTTCTTCGTTGAGTATGCAGCTTGCTCAGACATGGCTTCGAGTTATGGGCAACCATCCTCTGCTACCATTTTGTTAATTTGGAGGATCTAGCCCAATAACTCTCAATACAAAGTAGTGGTTGTTGCAGCTTATTTATTTGTAGGCATAAATATATCATAGGCCTAAGTATACACTTGTAACTGACCTTTGTCTTCTCTTCGCAGGTATGTAGTTGGAACTGGCTTGGTACCCATGTGGACGGTATTTTGTACCCAGGGGGAGGAGTCAAGGTAAGGTGGGATTGTGGGAGTGATGGGTTGTGTAGTAGTGTTAACCCTTGCTAGACCATAGGGAAATAGGAGCATATGTAAGTTAGACATTTTACATGACAAGATTTATGTGTAGGATAGCACTGAAAGTATTGTGGAAAGGAAAAGCCATATAATCTTTAAGAAACAATTGTAGATATGAAGACATATTGAACTATTCAGCTTGTATACAGACCTCTTATTTCCAATCAGTGGATATTTTCAGAAAGGAGACCAGTTACTTTCCTGTAATCATAATTCCAACAGCTTTTTTTGTTAAAACAATAAGATTCTAAAGCTTCCAGGATCTGAGAGATGAGGCAGTTAGAAAGCCCCAGTACTCCTGATGGGGAGTGCAAAATGTTGGCCTAGCAATGCCTTGTTTCAAGCTCAAAACCATCCCACCATGTCTGGAATGAACCATTTGGGCTTGAAATAATTGAGGTAGTCTCAACTTGAAATGTTTCAAGTCTGAAACATTTTTCATATACTTCTAATTCCTGCTTTTTTATATCCATTGCTAACTTATAATATACAGAACAATAGAGCGGAAGGCACCTTGGAGGTCTTCTAGTCCAATCCCCTGCTCAAGCAGGAGACCATATACCACTTCAGACAAAGGGTCGTCCAATATCTTCTTAAAAGCCTCCAGTGAGGGAGCACCCACAACTTCTGAAGACAAGCCGTTCCACTGGTTAATTGTTGTCACTGTTGGGGAATTTTTCCTTAGTTCTAGGTTGGCTCCCCCCTTGGTTAATTTCCATCAATTGTTTTTTGTCTTGCCTTTTGGTACTTTGGAAAATAGCACCTAACTAATTCATAATAATAACCAAACTAATTAATTAATCATACAAACTACAAAAGAAAGTTCCTGGTTTGTCTTTCCATTGTGGGAAGTAATTGTAGACATATTTTTTAAAAACTGGAAATCCAGGTTCCATACCAAAATAAATTGGAGGAGAGATAACACTCTCGGCGGTGACATAGGGTTGAGGCGGCATGGGAAAAGAAGCGCTCTGTTCCCAGTGCCGAATTTCTAAGTTTTTGGTGCCCTTTCGGGCAAAGATCGGTCCTGGAGGGACCGGTAATAAGGAGGGGAATCTTCGGAGGAGGCGAGGAGAGGTGCGATCTCCAGCCACACCAAGAAGGACCCTCAGTTCAAGCTTAGAAGAAGCCAGCCGGCGCGGCTGACTCAGAGGCCCAACGCCCCGAACGAGACCAACGGGAAGCAGAAGAGTGAGTACGGTGTGAAGAACAGAGGTGTGAGCAACCGAAAACCGAAGGGGGAGAAAGTGATTTTTGGAGGGGCAGCGAGTAAGAGAAAGACTCAGAGCGTAAATGGGCGGCAAATGACGAGGAGAGTAAAACGGAAGAGGACGAACTCCAGACCAGCGGAGAAATATCAAAGGACTGAAATGTTAAAATACAAGAATGGAGAGAGGTTGATCTCCAGCCTCATGGCCAGTAAATGCTCAGCTCCATCCAGTCGCCCGACTCTGCCATAAATTAAGGGACTATAGCAGTGGTGAAATGCTCCCGGTTCGGACCAGATCATCCGATCTGGTAGCAATGGCGGAGGGTAGTTCGGAGAACTGGTAACAAAAATCCTTGCCCACCCCTCATGCCCAGCTGAGCTGCGCGATCATCAGAGTTTTTGTTTTTACTTTTAAAAGCATTTTTTCGGCCAAAGAAAAAATGCTTTTAAAAGTAAAAAAAAAAGCCTCTGATAATCACACAGCTCAGCTGGGATCGTTAGAGCCTTTTAAAAGCATTAATGCTATTAAAAGGCTCTGACGATCCCAGCTGAGTTGCCTGATCATCAGAGCCTTTTTAAAGCATTTTTTTACAACCTCTTCGACCGAAGAGGTTGTAAAAAATGCTTTTAAAAGTAAAAAAAAAAGTTGGCCACGCCCACCCAGTCACATTACCCCACACACACCAAGCCACGCCCACTGTTAGTAATAAATTTTACATTTCACCACTGGACTATAGGGTTGTAAAAAAATGTAGATGAAGTTCTTTGTTTTTACACACTGTGCAGATATCTGACTTGAAGGAAAGTATGATTCATGGAGTGCAGCTGAATACACATAATACCTGTAAGCAAATACATAAACCAAACAGGTCTAGAACATGTGACAAATGTGGAGGGCAGCTGGAAAAAGTTGTTGCTGAATAATGCTGTTCCCAACAGATGTTATGTGTTTGCCCAGAAAGGCAAGGAAATGGAGAAAACCAGGGGTGATGGGAAGGAGAAGCTGAGTGCACATGGTCCTTGCATTAAAGACTTATTGTCAGTCCTAGAGGCCATCTTTTCTTTTAGATCTTCAGGGCTGCCACACTTAGTTTGTGGGAAACTGGGAGGGGAGTTTGCATGGAGTTAGTAGAAGTATTTAGCCATAACAACATTCTTTTCTCTGAGAGTCAAGGACGTTCAGCCTGCACCTGGAGTGGCGTGACTGGGAGGCATCTCCAATTGGGACAGTGGATTGATTGGACCATGTGATGGACATGTGGATGCAGAGGAAGGAACTTCAACTTTCCTTTGGGTGGGGAAAACCCGGGAGCTTTCAGATTTGGGTTTTCCCAGATGTGCCAATATGACATCTCTAATAAAATGGAACTTTGAGGAACTATTGGCCTGGGAGTCTTCATTGGTTGGGGATGTTACTTGGAACCCTGACACCTATTATAAATAACTGAACTTTTATTTTTTCCATCCAATAGAAGGGGCTCATAACTCTCATGATCCATCCATCAACAAGATCATTTTTGAAAACAGAATAAAACCGGACCCAAGTGGTAAATTGGAAGAAGCCATCAAAAGGAAGATTTAGTCCGAAATGGGTTAGATCTAGGTGGAATCCATGAATAAAATAAAAATCCGGACAAAATCCCCAATTGAGTACTAAAACGGAATAAATATAATCCCAAGGTATGCCCCAAAATACCTTTATTGGCTTCAACACAAGAAGCATTTTACAGGTAGTCTTCAACTTGCAACAGTTCATTTAGTGACTGTTCAAAGTTACAACGGCACTGAAAAATGTGATTTATGACTGTTTTTCACACTTACAACCATTGCACCATCCCCATGGTCATGTGATTAAAAATTGGATGCTTGGCAGCTGGTTTGTATTTATGATGGTTGCATTGTCCTTGGGGTCATGTGATCCCCTTTTGCGACCTTCTGACAAGCAAAGTCAATGGGGAAACCAGATTCACTTAACAACCATGTTACTAACTTAAGAAAGAAAGATCATAAAATGGAGCAAAACTCAATAAATGTTTCACTTAGCAACATAAATTTTGGCTCAATTAAGTTGAGGACTACTTATATAGCCAAAAAAAAACCCCCTGAACATTGAGGTATCAAGATTTGTTAGTACAGGAACATGGAAAACTTAAGATGAAGTCAAAAGAACAATCTACCCTGAGGTAAGCTGGGCAACCAATAAATTTTATAAATAAATAAACTGCAGCAGGATTTATTTTTCAACAATTCTTTTTTACATATGCACAATTAAGAGAGATTCAGTATAGATTAAAAAGTAATCAGAATTGAACAACAAGACAAAATTTGAAAATGAATAATGTACAAGAGATGAACATGAGATTGCTAAAGTGTATAAATGTCTGTTGAGATTTGAAAAAGAAGAACAAATCAAACACTGCACGATGATACCGGCTAAGGTTTTTGGTAATGATATACAAATGGATCAATGGGAAAGAATGTGGCTAAAAAGATCTGGAATTCATATTGCATTATGATTTTAAGAAAGAATTATTAAATAATACACTGTTGGTATATGACATCAGAGAAATTAAGGTGTATAAAGATATTTCTAATCAATGTTGGAAATGTGTAAAACCTGAAGGAACATTTTACCATAAATAGCAGTCTTGTGAAAAAGCCCCCCCCCAAAATGGATACAAATAACATGATGATGCAAATAATTTTAAAAATATTCAGATGAAACTAGAATCATTTTTGTTGAAACTTATGGATAGCCAATTAGAAAAGACGTATGAAAGATTGGTTTTATATATGGTAACTGCAATTAAATTATTATATGCACAAAGATGGAAAAACACTGAAATATCTACAATCCATCCTTTCGAGGTAGGTAAAATGAGGACTTGGTTTGTGGGGGCAATAAGCTGACTTTGTGTAAAAAAGAACACCGCTTTGGGGGGGGGGGCGAAAGCCCTACTAAGCACTATTGCTTAACGCATTGTAAGCCGCCCTGAGTCTCCGGAGAAGGGCGGCATATAAATCGAACCAATCTATCAATCAGTCAATCAATCAATAAATGGAGGATTGGATTGTGAAGATGGTGGAATTCTCAGAAATGGCAAAATTGACTTCTTTGATTAGAGATAAAGCAATAAATATTTTTGTAAAACACTGGATATTTGTTAAGTACTTTTTACTGTAAATGGGGAAAAAAGAATTGGTGATTTCTGGATTTTCTCATTAAAAGGAGTTGAATATGGAAATAATGTAACATAATCTTAGAGAGGAGAGATAATATGGGGTTGGGTTTTTTTTGTATCTGATTACAGTCTGATTTACTCAATAATTGATAAACTGCAACCAAATATATTAACTCCTCTCATAGGAAAGTACTAAGCATTTTTTTTTTGTATTTTACTATGATGGATGACGTACATGAATTGATGATGTCCATGAGTGAATCTCTTTTTGATCTAGGATTGTTTGATACAGGTGCACAAACAAATCCTAGGTGCATAAAGACTGTTGTTTGTACACATTAGTGTTGTGCAAAATGTTATTAAAGTCTAAATATCACAAAAATCCATGCCACCCAAATCTCAGGTCAGATCCTTTTAATTCCAAACCTTCTATTTTTCAGCAACACCCAATCATTCATCCAAGCCAAACAGCAAATTCCACAGTACAATTTCAAGTCTAGTAATCCCAATCCTCCCTTTTCATTTGCATCTTGTATAGTAACACCTTACATTTACCTCATGTTTATTTCCCCACCACATACATTTGTATATATCTTTCTGCCATTATTTAAATGGTGCATCAGTTGTCAAAACAGGTATTGTCTGAAACCAATACACCATTCTAGGCAAGACATTTTTTATTACAGAAATTCTCTCCAGGAATGATAGTTGTAATTTCTTCCATTTTAGCATATCGTTATAACTTCATTCCATGTCTTAATATAGTTGTTTTGAAATAATATTGTTATTCCATATATTCAGATAATTTACCTTCTTAATCTTAAAACCTGTTCTCTTTATCAATACTGTTTGATCTGCTGTTTTCATATTTTTGCTAATATCTTCATCTTCTATTCATTAATCTTGAAACCTGCTAATGCACCAATTCTTTTGCCAATTAATATTTCAATTTTCTTCAAAAGATTTTCCAGAACTAGCATCAAGTCATTTGGCAAAAGCCCTTAACTTAAAAGTTTTTCTTTTAAATCTTTACTCTCTCATCTTGTCTTATATCTATACTCAGTATTTCAAGAACCTAAATAAACAAGACAATATATAATATAGCATATCACATAGCACATTAAAGTAGATATGCTATATTGAGAATATGGAATACATACAAACACAGATTGTACCCAAAAACACATTTCTGGAGCTCAGCATAAGAAACATTTTATAGACAAAAACATGATCAACAAATACAAATAGCTAACTTACCACAAAATACTAGAATTTTGTCAAGGATAATATAATATAAAATAAAATAAAAAGAATTAGTGCCTAGTGATATAGTTGTCAATTATTCTCTTATTTACAATATTAGAAAGATCTAAAATAGCCCCCAAAATATGACTTTGATCTTTGCAAGATTGAATTTGAAATAAAACTCAATCTTGTACAAATTGAGTTCATGTAATGATAAACATGTAATTGTTAAAATGTATAAACTTTTATGGAAATTTGAAACAGAAGAATAAGAGAAAGAACATATGATAAAGTGGGCTAAAAATTTTGGTTATACAGTTGGAATAGTGAGAAAACTAAATGGCTGAAAGGATTGCCATTTACATTACAATATGCCTTAATCTTTAAAAAGATATTTTTATAAAAGTATGTACCACTGATATATGTTACCAGTAAAATTGTCTAGAATCTAGGAATTTCAATTTTTATTGGAAAAGTAAACAAGAAGGGATATTTTATTGTGTTTGATGGATATGTAAAAAACTAGAAAATTCTGGATTCAAATACATTCACTGATTTTAAAAATTAATATGGCAAAACATGGTTGATTTCAGAATAGGGAATAGTTTATTTTATCTATATATCTAAAGTAGGCTACAATATATAATCCCTTTGCTGTGTATGGCTTCACTATAATTAGTGAAGTGAAAACATTATTGATTTCATAATGAAGACCAAAATTTTCCACTTGATGCTGAATTTTTCCTGTAACCATCCTGATGATTCATTGTATGCCATCACATGGTGTTGTGATAGCAGCTCTTATATGTTACAGATTGCAGATGCCTTTTATTGGCTTAATGTGAATATTATTGCCACAGTTTATTACCAAGACCTATCTTATAGTAATTGAAATACAATATGGTACCATTAATCACTCTGAATACAAAATGTTAACTTTAGAGCATTCACAGAGTGCATTATTAAATGCTGCTTGAAACATAAAACAATTTGATTTGCAACAGAACAGTTTAGAAAACTGCATGGTGATTTACAATGAAATCCTATAGGCAAATGCAATGGATATGACACTTTGTATTTAAATTGCCATAAAATTTTACAAATCACCTAAATTTTATATTTTTCACTGTAGCTGAATGCTAATATCTTTCAGGAAAAAAATGAATTAGTAAATAGTAAAAATATTAAAGTGTATATAAATGTAGAACACCTGATATGATTGGCTCATTGCCTTAAAAACAGTAGTCCTCCTTTAGCAACCAACTACAACTCAGTCATTAAGCAAAGTGGTTGCTAAGCGAAACTGCAACTGTGCTTATTATCCTTTGTTTTACAGATTTGCAAAGGTTATAAATGTAGTCATAAAGTTCCTTTTTCATCACTATCGTAATTGCAAATGGTTGTTAAATGAAGCAGTTGCTAAACAAAGAATACCTTTAAACCCTGCAATAATCAAACAATAATATCTCACTACATATTTCAGTAGGCTTCCTTTCAGTATGACAAGATCTACTCCTTTAGAGCCAATCAGTGTTCTTTATGCTGCTAATCAATAGGAATGCATTTAAAATATTATTCAAACAAGACCTTACCCAAAGCAGTTTCACCTCTCTACAGAAAAAGAACAAAAATGACTATTTTTTGGCTATTTCCATATTTTAACTAGATTATTGGTACAATTGATACAATAATGTTCAATTGTTTGTAAAGCAAATAAACAATGAGTATTTCCACTAGAACAGGGCTGTCAAACTCCCAGTCCATGGGACGGATGCGTCACATGCTGGCCATGCCCACCCCCGTTTTAGCGAAGGGGGTGGGGGAAATACTGATACATCACATGACGACGACATGACGACGTGAGTTTGACATCCCTGCACTAGAAGGAAGCTATTGCTGATTGAACCATGGTTTGTTTGGAATTAAAAAATCCCATTCAGAGTTGTGAAGG